AAACACTAGATAGCAACAATAGCAACGCGACATACATGACAATATTCAATAATAGAATGCAAGAGTCCTTAAAATAATTGAAAGTTGTCCAGATCAAGACATAGACATAGAGCTAGGCAGTTTGGGAAAGGGGCCGCTCGAGACACCCCCCAATTGATCAAAGTTATCAGATGGAACCTCCAGTGACTTTGCTCCCGGACTTTTGACCAGTGGCACCATGCCCGTCGCGATCGTTTATATCTAAGTTGTTGAACTTGTTCGGAAGTCCTTGAGGGAGCTTTTCCTCTGTCTCATCAATGTCCTCTTCATCATCGTTGGATCGGCGATCTTCTTTGGCACCGTTGGTGTCTTCGAAAGGTGGCCAAGCAGACTGTGATCGATGCGTCCAGCTTCCCCCTTGATTGAAACTCGGATTCGTCCCATAAGAAACATTTTGCTGAAACCATGGTCCAGATTGATATTTATGCTGCCATTGCATGTTTTGGTCGGTGCTTCCTGGCTGATTTTGGCTAGCGAAGCTAGGCTGTTGCGGGCTACGGCGGAATGGATTTGCGTTGGGCTGACCTCCAACTCCTGTCGTGGTATGGTCGAACGGCTGGAATGGAGTACTTGCAGGATATCCACGCATCCCGTTTCGCATCTGTGAGTTCATATAATGCGTCAAGTCTGGAGGACCTGCCCCTTGGAACACATGTCCTGTGAGGGTTGATGTTAGCACACAGACTCGACTCGCCACATTTTTCCCGAGGGCAGACGTACCGTGATTGTCCCCCATCATGACATTCTCTGCGTGGTTGACATAGTTCTGAGTAGAGCCAGGGGGATGTATAAAGTTGTTGTACGTTCCTAGAAACACACGATACTGAGCACTTTGCTGCCAATATAGGCGCTGGTGAGAGGATGCTTACTGTGAGAGTCTCCTTTGACATCAACGAATTCTCCGCCATAAATGTTGATATTGTTTGCGTTCTCAAAAATCGGCATGGTCGGTAGGTGAGCTTTGCTGGGAGGTCGAAAGGTGTGTTGACGCCCGTTCTGCATGGCATTTCTGTCATAATGAAGTTGGGAAGTACATTCTCACGGCACTGCCTCGTGTTCACTTGTCGAGTCGAAGTACATCGGCTTTTATGCTCTGCCAGGGCCTGCTATTGCCATTCGAGCTTCATGCCTCTTCTCACCGATTCTGGGGACTTCGACCGTTGCTATGATTGATGGGAGGGACTTGTAAGACTTTGTATTTTCGCTGGCTATGGCACTTTTAATATCGTCTGTGGGCGCAGCCTGCCTGCTTTGAGGTAATCAAGTGAACTAACATGCTAATGATGTTATTGTTTACCACAAGACACGCCTGTTGTAGATGGACCTTGAAGCTTGAAGCTTGACACCTCGCATAGACGTGCGTGCCAGGCTCAGCACCACTCTGCAGTGTTGAATGGGAGCGTTGAGCCAACGTATCTGCTATTGTATATCAAGAACTCAAGCGTGTATCACCTCTGGTGCTATGTATTAGTTCACAATGGCCACATCGGTCAGGTTAGAGGATATATGAGTCTCTGTCACGTCAGATGACAGAGCTTGGCGTCTAAACCGGCGGTGGAGATGGAGTGATAGTGTCATCAACCGCGAACCTGTGCAGGAATGTCCTCGGGGCTTGAAAGGTTGATCTGAGGTCAGTTTGTGCTATAAAGAGGAATAGACCTACCTACTTGGGCCTTCTAGGAAGAAGTTTGTAAGGCTAAGTAACCAGTAAGTAGACAGATAGATGAGACCATCAGCCACCAGCGTAGCAAGACAATATCAGCGACATTCCCGTTCAGAGTAGACTGAGCTCACCGACAGCCACTATTGAATGGTTCATCGCAATAAACGGATACGCATCTCCCCGACGACATCTCTGCTCCCGAACGGAGCGCAAATCGGCTTTCATGACTGGGATACAGCAGAACTGTCGACGAAAATAGTTTCCGGAGTGCCTGATATTTGATGACTATCAGCTTCGGGACACACCGCAGGGAATTCGTCTTGAATAAAGCCTAGCGCTCTTTGTGCAAAAGAAACCCAACTCGAACCAAGCACCTCCCTATTCTCGATATGAAGTTTTCATCTGCTCTCCAAACTCTTCTTTCTCTCGTCGTTCTCTCCAAGATGGTTGATGCAGCGGCTATAAACTGTCTGACAACTTCGACAACCATTGAGGCATTAACCACATGCCTCGTTGGATACACTGTTCCCTCGGGCTTCTACAACTCTGGCGGAGTTGGTGGGCTCAGCGGGTACACCACTGCTCAGCCGACCAGCAGCGAGCGCACCGCTTGGAGTACCGCTGTTAATAACCTGCTCAACATCAATGGGGATTGCCCCACCACTCCCGTCGATGTCCCAGGTTTGGGGGGCACCTACACAATGGCCCGCTTCACTGAATCGTCTGACGGCAGAGCCTTCTGCGTCATCTCCGAAAAAAACACCTTCGCCGGCACCACCAACGTCTTTGCTCGTGGTTGGGGCTTCGTAATCGCCACTGCAAACAATGCAGATCATCTCAGAGCTCTCCATTTCTCTGCTCCCCACCCCATCTATGATCAAACCACGCCTACCCAGGCTTCTGCCCTGTTCAAACGCGTAAACGCGAAGTCTCTTGTTGTGGCTGGTAGGCACCGGCAAGCATCCAGCGAATCTTCCGCATGTGCGACGCCTAGCAACGCTTCCGACACCTACTACCGGACGGACCCCTCTCATGACGATGTAAGCCCTCATATTCCGTCGACACGTAGATATGTAGCTTACCTACTTTATCGCTCTGTCTGACAGGACGAGCCATTCCATGACGCGCTTGTCGCGACTCGTGACTGGCAAAACAACAACGGCGGGTGCCCCAACGACCGATGCGCATACATCCAGTTTCACCGGAAGACAAGCTGCCCGACTTATGATATTTTCTTGTCTAGTGGGCCAGGTTCGTAAACGGGTACCGTTTCGAGAAAAATAAAGTTCTGACCTTTGCGATACAGGCAACGGCGCTGCCTCTCACGAGTGGTACCATGGCACCACAGTTCGTCCAGTGAGGCGCTTGAAGGAAGCCCTGGATGCAAACTTGCCACCCCTTGCTGGAACCCTGCACGGGTTGCCCAGCACCGCGAATGACTGCCAACTGACAGCGACGAAGAACGTGTTTGGCAGAATTGTAAACGGCAGGATCCCTCCCACCCACTGCAGCAACGACGCCACGCTTGCTTCAGTCACTGGATCCTTCATTCATGTCGAGCAGTCCGACCCTATTGTTCTGGCCGATTACTATGACGAGTGGACCAACGCGCTCGTCTCTGCATTCCCAACCTTGTAGACGAAAGATTATCACCCTGACTAGTTACTATATATCCAAGTCAGTGTACGACTCACCGCAAACCCTTTTTTTCTAAAGTTCGTCTTCGCCATTCCAACTTTCCTTCCTTCCGTAGTATGCTTCTTCTGCGCCGACATTAATCCCAACTCACTTTATATGCATTGCATAATATAAATTTAATGATTCAGGAACATCTGTTCACGATGAAACTCAGGAATGGAGGAGAACCAGGATTCAGGCCCAGTGAAAAGTGGTTATTGATAGAATTTGTCAGCGGTTCGATATCTTTGAACCCTGCTTGGACGCGTTGGTTGAATTTGATTCACTCCAGGTCGCACTTTGGACGTGTTGTCCAGCTTTGATATTCCCGAGCTAGCACATCCACGACCACAACCTTGTCCCAATATCTATCTAAGCACGCCTTCTGCCAACCTTCCCCAAACTTCCTCAATACAAACTGTAACAAACTTGCTCACTCACATGCAATCCTGGCCACCCGCCTAAGCCAGATTGCCCACGCCACATGTGTATCGATATCTGTACCCTCCCTCTTTCCTCCATTCTGCCGATTTGGACTTAGAGATTTTGGGCAGCCAGGTTAGTACAAATAAGATCAAACAGATCGACATTCACGATTTCTGACTCTGTGTCTGTCCGAGTCTGTCCCGCCCGTACAGCACCTCTTTGTTGCAACACCAGCTTGCTACGCATCGCCCTCCTCTTCTAATGGAAGCGGAATTATGGCCTTGGTGACTTCAGGAAACCAGATGGCCCAACGCGATCAAATCGCTCGGGTCAAGACAGGGCTCGCAAGTTTCAGCGAAACTGTTGGGTTCATGTACCCAAGAGACAGCGAGATGTGAGTGATTTTATGTTTGCACAACCTACTCTAACGTACCCCACAGCTTTGAAGTATTGAGGCAAAGCGAGTCCCGCCTGGTAGCTTCCCCGCCTTCCATTGTGTGCAGTCGCTAACATGACATGAATTTGCAGAACGGAATGTTCCGCCTTCTGCTCGTATTTCTAGCGCTTCTGGCAGTGTGTAGACTCTCTATCTGCCTGATTGTACCCGCCCAGTAGCTGAGCCTGCTCATTCCGACCGACATTTCGACCGACATGCTTTCGATTTGATTTCGACCGACCTGCTCTATAGCCTATAACTGGCACTTGACCGACACGCTTTCGACCTGATTCAACATCGCTTTCACATCCACCATTGATTGCCATTGTCACAGAGAATTGAATTTACCACTGGTACAGGGAGAAGGAGGGTATATCCCGCAGTAGTTTATTATTATCTCAAATTGTAACAATTCGTATCGACTAATTCAAAAGCCCGAGAAAGGGCATTTTCCACATTTGACAAATTTGAGTGGATTTGAGATGGAACATTTTCAAAGAGAACCCAATCCACCCAACTCTTTTCAAAAATGCATCTGCGGCTAACTTTGTTGAGGGTTGAGTGGTTTGGATTCTCTTTGAGAATTAAGCGGGGACAGGTTTTCAAACACATTCAACAAATATCAATTTCGATCAAAATCATGTTTTCACTGGGATTCAGGACTCAAAGAGAACGCAAAAATCATTCGAGTGACTTGTCATTGGTCGGTTGCCTTTCGGGCCCGGCGGTCCAGAACGCCGGCCTGTGCGCCTATAACATGGCAATATGGCCGAGTGGTCTAAGGCGCCAGAATCAGGACACTGGTTTATCTGGTCCGAAAGGGCGTGGGTTCGAATCCCACTGTTGTCAAATCTTTTGCTCGTTTTCCTTTTGTCGCTCCTCAGCACGCTATTTCAATTCGGTATTGTATCTATACGACCTCTAAGCTGCATATCCCTTCTACAAGGCTAGCGAATCTAATGGCATAGATTCACGACGAAAGTATTTATGTGACATCTAGTAGTGTATACGAATAAAATACAAATACCCATGCTGTGGTTCAGCTGTCCTTAACATTAGATGTCCCTCCTTCTCCTAGTACTTTTGGCTGAGTATTTTTAGATGGCGGTTTACGACGTCGTTGATTCTTAGCCTGATCCTGGTTTGAAGACGATGCAGCATTAGGCTGCGCCTCCTTCCGCCCATCACCAGAACCAGCCGGCCCTGTCAAGGTATCCTTATTCTGCGGCGGACGTTGGTTTTGCGTACGTGGCTTCCCTACGCCCTTGCCCTTACCCCTGATAGAGCTTTTTTGGTGGCCCTGTCCCTGCACCTGCTGCGAATCAGACGAATCCTTCTTGCTTTTCGTCTTAAAATTCTCCAAAGCAAGCATCTCCTGCTTCACCCGATCCTCTTCCTCCTGCCACCACTTCATGAAATCGACCTCAGCCTGGAGTGCTTGCTCTTCCTCCTGGATCTCCTTCAATGATCGTTTATCCTTGATGGGCACGAACTGCGTCTGCTGCTGTGCCTGCTGGATTGCCGCAAACGACATTGATGACCTGGGTTGGACTTCAGATGGGCGAGAAATTGGCTCAATTGGAGCCACAGGCGTCCATGCTTTGGTACTAGCAGATGTAGGGGTGGCTTTTTTGGAAGGCGTGAATGTCGGCCCAAAACCAGGTGAATCGATGGGACCGCTTGGTTTCCTATTCAGGTTACGTGACGGAGATGGGGAGACTGGTGGTGGCCTAGTGGCAGATAGTCCGCCCCTAACAGGTGGCGAAGCTAGTGGCGCGGTTGGCAGAGGGTTGGGTGATGGCTTTCTCCAATGCAAGCTTTGAGAAAGTTCCCGCTGCGGTTGTTTGCCTTGCGCCTTCGGGCTTTGGCCCAGACCGATCGCAGTGCCAGGACCTTTGCTGAGTAGAGGTTGCTGAGCTTCAGCCATTATGGCTCTCATGTCAACACTGTGCGGTGAACGTAACATAAATAAACTAAAAGACCTGGAGCGGCAAAACGAACATACCGAGGTGCACTTGCGATCTTCCAGGTAGGAACACCACTTGAAGCTGGTGCCGATGATGGCAACGGTGTCGAATTCGGAGGACTTGAATGCTTTTCGTACTGTGCCCTGTCCTCGTCGACGACAGGAACATCATCGCGCTTCTCGAAACCGAGCAGAGACACCCTCGCTTTCCGTGGAGGAAGAACCTTGGTAGACCGAACGATTGGTTCGGGGACGTCTTGCTGCTCCAACCAATCCCAATGCATGGCCATCAGCTCGTCGATGTAGTCGTTCGTTCTCGTGAAGGAAAATTTCTCGCGCTGCTTTTCAGCAAGGAAATTGGATAGCTGGAGAAGAAGAGGTGCCGGCAAGTCGTCGAACATTCCAGATTCGAGAAGCAATTCCATGTTGGTTGCCATATACTCTTGCACGCTTGCAATGAGCTGGTACGCATGGTAATGGGTGGCTTCTCCAAGAATGTAGCAGCAATTGTGAATCCGGAGATATTTTAAGATGATGGAAGAGCAAATGAGAATAAGCCGGTCGAGGAGAAGCTCCGTCTAATTGCATATATCAGACTCAGATCCGGGGACACTGGTGATAAGGAGCATACCGCCGCAGCCATCACTTCGAACATAAATTCCAAAACATCGTCGACGGTCTGCGCAAACGCTATAGTGGAGGATCAGTGTGAATCACGGGAGACTAACAACTGGGTCACATACGCAGAACTTCAAACAAATCTTCATCTTTCCCACACAACATGAATCGAAGGACATAATCCATGACGCGCCACTCCATGTGCTTTAGGTCGATCTTCAAAACACCATCTACACCCCAGCGTTCCTTCGTCCAGACATCTTCCGCAAAGAAACTCGCAAAGAACTCAGAGCGGGCCCGCAATATGATGGAATGCGTCCAGATATTCCTGTCCTTCAGTTCGAGCAAGACGTCACCAGGAGGAGTATACGATGACCGGCCTTCCGCCAGGCCCGTCAGCTTCTGCGTCCGCTCGAAAAGGTTGGCCAGGTCTGAAGGTAGGGATGATCGGGGAATGCGTTTGACAGGTGCTTCCAAAACACGATCCAAGTGGGGCAGATCAAGCAGGACGGCGAGTGCTGACAATTCCGCTTTGATCTGAGCAGTGTCAATGTTGAAGGAAGAAACCTGCCTCCTCAACGCAGCGTGGACTCTGGGATCCCAGATCGAAAGAACCTGGTCCGAATAGAGGTAATGTAGGAGGATGAGGAATGTAAGTGGGCGGACCCCAGATACCGAAAGCATCGCCAATTTCGTCACGCCGTTTCCTGGACCGGGTTTTGAGGGTTTCAGCTTGATGACGATCGGAATCTTTGGCTTTGCTTTTGAATCGTGTCCCTCCGGAAGCTGTCGGCCTGCCAAAATGGCGCCCAGGAAGGTCGAACGCGCGGCCAGGATGACATGGTGAGCTGGGAAAGTCACGCTTCCCAACGATATTAGGACGTCAGAGGCAAAGGGTAAGGCAGCGCCATCGTACTTGATGGGTGTCTTGGTCGACATCTTCGCTTTTTGCTGTTCGCGTTTGATGAGTTGTATCAGCAGGTGCAGAGAAGTGATATCCTTCTCAATTATGGTATCTTCTGATTCCTCGTCCGGGTAGATGTCGTCGTCGAGGAGTACTGCGGAAGAGGTAAGGTCGTCCTTGACCAGAGGGTCCTGTTCGAAGATGTCGGTTGGCGATGGTCGTTGAAGTTGTTCAGGGAGACCTCTAACGACCGGATATGGAAGGTGGAAAGGTTGGACTTGAGAAAGGTCATCCGCGATGGATCCTCCTTGTACAACGATCTTTTTCGGCTTGAAATCTACTCGCAATGCTCCAAACGCTCCGCTGCTGTTGGCACATACATGGGTGACCCGTTGAAGGTTTTGAATTCGTTGAAACTTGAAATTCTTTGCCGACCCTGCTTTCGAGCTACGGATACGAACATATACATGTCCGGATTCTGTGGAGACGACGATCGAGCCATCTGCCCCGAGAGCCACATCCTAGCATTGCGGTGAGAAGTGGTTGTGGAAAAAATATGACCGATGTTCACCCTGACGGCACTGAACTTCTTTCTCAATGCCCATACGCGTTGGGGTTTGAAGAGGGTACGGTTGTAGTCATGCACGTCCGGAATGCTGTGAGGAGGGGAGAAGGTAAAAACTTCCCCGTTCCCCGAAAGAGCAGCGAAGACGTCCCCACACGCAGTTACTTTTACGATATGAGAGTCCTTGATAGCCTGATGAGGACGGAAAGGTTGTATTTCCGATGGAAAGGCGTGGATGGGGAAGCTGAAAGATGTTGAGTGCGAGGTCTGAATGTGAGTTGCAATACACACTTGATACGAACGGCCCGATCATTCCAGATACATTCGACTTGCTGGGTCCGCAACAGCGCGACTAAAGCGTTATCCTACCAATCGTATGAGATCTAGTCGGGGGATTTAAAACAAAAGACGTACTGTCAAAGCGAGGGAGATCACTGGATGCGAGAACCGTGTCACGATGCGAGGCGAGATTTGGACTGGGTGGGCACTCTTGTCATAGCCTGCCACCATGGAATGAGCGAAATTCCCGGCCGTGGATGGATTAAATTATCGCGCACCAAGCTGGCCCGTGTTAGTTCCCCAAGTGAACACTTCCTCGACTGTCCAACATGCGGATGCTACCTTGGAAGCGGCCAGACCGATCACTACCGCCTTCTTCAGAGGTCCAACGATCTTTTTCGGTACAGCCTGTATCGGTTCTTCAAGCTTGCCCAGCGTTGTCGAAATCTCCACCACATATCCCAGTTGCGAAAAACGATTGAGACCCCAGCTCAGAATCTCCCCTGATTTGGTCAAGGCAAGTGTATGGTCTTGACCAAGAGCGACTTCTGTTATCGAGTATTGGAATAAAGGGAGTGGCTTCAGGCTGTACTGCGTGTGCTGTCCCGGCCCAAGTCGACCTCCGCTTCCGAATCCGCAAACTCGAAGGTTGCAGAATTCCTCAGATGTGACGACAGCTGTTTGTTGCTGTGAGTGACGATAATCGCCTCTTGACAACGCAAGACGGACCTGTGTGGAGTTTCGACATTTGTACCTGCCGGACGGAAACAGGAGTGAATCTCTCCCATAATTTGCGGCGTTGAATGTCTTCAGGTTCCTCCAAGCTTGGGATATTCACTTGGTCCGGATGATTTCTGTCCTTGCCATCTCCGTGTCCTAGAGATGCATTCCTGAAGAGGGTCGGAATGAGAACATACAAGCATGCGCGAAGATGACATACAAGCTTGCACCCCAGGTAAACAGTTCGGCATCTGACTGACCAAAATCCGGCTTCGTCCCGCTGATAGTCGAGTTGTAGAGGTCGAAAGCAGTGTAGCCTTCGTAGTCCTTGAGAGAAATATCGATGTCGGACCGTTGCAACAGGAGCTGACTATATCGCGTTCAATTCAGTTCAGAGAGAAGGCGAAGATAGAACGTACGCAGCCGGCAAATTAGCGTGGTACAACGCCCTGTGGAGCGGAGTCCAATGACTTTCAGTATCAGGGAGATTGACGTTGATATTGGGATGCTTCAACAAAGCTCGAACGTATTCAAGAGTTCCAACTTCTGTGCAAGCTAGGTGCAGGGGTGTACGTCCAAGCCAGTCCCTGGCGTTTACATCGATGTAAATGGTCGAGGATGTCGATCTACCGCTCGTGCTGGGCTGAGCGGGTCCGCTTCCAGATTGTTGCTTTCTGTCTCCATCGAGCAGCCGCTGGAAGCGCTGTAAGTTCCTAATGTTGAAGTAGTCATGGGCCAATGTCATACAGGCGCAGAAAGTGGACGGGACGACCTAGAAAGAGTTGGAAAACCCTTTC